CTGCGTGGAAATGACGACGAACACCACGGAAGAGATCTTCCGGGTCGGGTCTGGAGGAAGCGGTGGCAAGGGAGGGGGAAGAGGAGGGTTTGACGGGATGTAGCTCGGTGAGAGAGGCGATAGAGGGGTGAGCGGAGACGATCCTTCCTGCTCGTTATCTGGGCCCGCCTGCGTCCGTGACCCGTCGTCGTCGTCGTCGTCGTCGTCCGTCTCCATCGGCACCCCTTCCTCTGACGCGTCGCCCTCCGATCCCGCCTCCCCTCGTGGCCGGCTGATCCCGCCTCCACGTCGTTGCCCGCTGATCCAGCCTCCGACTCGTCGCCCTCCGATCCAGCCTCTGACGCCATTTGCTCCACGTAGGTTCGTCCCACACCCACTTCTGGCTCAAGCAGCGGGACTGGCATGTTGTCAGTAACCTAAAGAAAAACGTGTTAAGGTTAACAGAATGTTAGGCTATAGGTCGTGCTCACCTTGGCGAGTACGTGCGGAACACTCTCCGTTCTCGCAGACTCGACGACTGCACAGTCAGCGCCCAAACTGACACTGAGGTCCTTGCGCTTGGCGTGGTAAGACAGCCCTACCATACAGTCCGGAATCTCTATGTGGTCCTGCCTAACCAACATCTTCGCCGTGTTCTCCGTCACCAACATGCCGGCGGGCAGCGGGAACTGAACCGTAACTGGTTTGATGGTCTCCTCTACTATGTTATGAACGCAACCTTGCAGGGCGTCCTGGTGCAGGCCGCTGGGGGAACCAGACACCACCGTCTTCATCGCTCGATCGTAACGGAACCTGAGTATTTGACCTGTTATAAGATATTCTAACCTCCGTAGAGATCGTAGCTAGTACTCACCAGAAATGACGAAGAATCTCCGGTTTGTCCCTCAACTTCGTCTGGAGGAGAACCCAATCTTCTGGCTCAAAATCAGGTGTCTATTAACAGTTAGCGAGGTCTCCCTCATGTCAAAGCGCTCACGTACCTGAATTAAAATGTCGGACAAGGCAGGGAAGTCCCTGTCGTCCAATAGGTCGCCAAATATGCGTCGAGCGAAAGGCCAGTGGCGTACAGCGTCGACGTAGTCCTCGTCGTCGACACTGGTGGGGGGAGACGACGGCGCGGCTCAAGGAAGTCATTTTCTCGTACGATAGTACGATAAGCACAAACGTGTACTCACCTAAGTCCCTGAAATCCCAAAGGATGTTCTTCGGCGATGCGCTAGACGGTAACTTGTTGTCGGAAGGGGGACTGTCGGGCAAGTCAGACCAGTCGTCGGTGTCGCGATCCCTGAAAGTGCCCAGGGGCCGGAAGGTAGGAGAACGAAAGGGATGCATGAGGAAGGCAGCGCGAGAGAGAGCGTCAGAACCCTGCCTCACGAGGGACTGTACATGGGAAGGCGCACCGCAACTATTAAACCTTGCATCAAGTGACCGGAGTTGGACGGACTTCCGGGACGAGCAGATAAGCGTTCTGACGCGTACAGGGGCCACGCAGACACTCCGCAGGCACTACGCAGACCAGCACCAAGTGTATTCATCACCGCTAGCGGGTACTACGGCGTACTGCCTAAGTCCGTGCCTGCTGGACCCTCAGAAGCTCAAAGCTCGGGGCGTTAAGTCCCATTTCCTTATTGGGGCGCGCGGTCGGACCGCGCGCCCCAATAAGGAAGTCCTCCGACTCGGCGCGCCCTCGAAGAAATACTGGCGCAATTGGCAGAAGAACAGGTAAGAGCACTCACCTTCACCAATGCTAGACAGACCGCTAACGCTTGACGCACAGGCAGACTTTTGGGTGGTAGGGTAGCACCACACTCCCTGTAAAGGACGCAATGACAACGTTAGCGTAATTGAACGAACTGGTCAATCAATGACTTGCCGGCGGAGCAAAATCCTGCGGTGTGTGACGTGCGTGTGCAGAACAACTTGAAGTGAAGAGCGTGCCGCCGTAGACGCGTGCGGCATGGTGAGATTGACAGGGCCCATCAATGTCGCGCGGTCAAGGCGGACTTGCGGCCAAGTCAGGGAAGAGGAAACGTAACGTAACTATGCGCAGCGTTCGTTTCCTCTAAGCTTCGAGTTCAGCAGCGACCTCTCAATCCGCACGAGATACGCCAACTCTGAGCCGTTTTACTGGAATTTACTGCCAGTTGGTGAGACTTCAATGTGTGTCCGGCAAAAAAATCACTCACTAAAGACTCTCCAGACTCGTTAGACATGCGCAGGCGGTCAAAACGCTTGTATGCCTTGCTGGGAGAGACGTGTCATGCATGCGGCGGTTCATTTGACAGCATGCAAGGGCTCATGGCTCACCAGACGATGAGCCGCGGTTGCGCCTGGTACAAAAAGGGCAAATTGAGGGAGAGTCTTCGGGATACGGATGTAGTATCCGATTCATCGGACGATGAGGATGAGGCTCAGGATGGCAATGCAGTGAACAGGTGAGACTCACTGGTGGTCTTCGCTGTGTTGACTTTTTATATCTGAACACGCAACACCTCAATTTCAGTCTAGACGATGACCCAGGTGACGAGGATGCAGATAGTAGTGGAGAGTGGGAGGATGAAGATGAAGGTGACGCACAGTATCAATTCTTTCCAGTAGCTGGTCCCAGTCAGCCCATAGCCTCGACATCTTCAGCACCCTCGCCTTCCCGACGTACCGCCCTTTCGCTAGACGAGGACGACGATGATAGGGTGGAGGATATTGACATTAGTGCGGGAAAGGTTACAGGGACCGCGGAAACGATCAGAGAGTCATGGAGGGAGCATTTCGATAGCTTGGGCGGGCAGAGACGCAGTGAGTATCAACTTATCCTGCACTGCGCTAACCTGACAAATCAATATTAGGTGATCAAGAAGTACTAGCACGGGTCAACGGTTTGTGGGCACCCTTCGAGTCAGAGATGGACTGGCAGATCGCGAAGTGGTTCATCAAGGAAGGGATTGGGCAGGGCGCTGTAGACCGTTTTCTTCGTATACCAGAAGTGAGTGCGAAGCTGTCAGGATCGGCTAGATGAACTGAATAAAACTACAGGTGCAAGAGAGGCTCGGACTCACGTATCACAACAACCGGGCCTTGCTTCAGAAGGTCGACTCCATTCCTGAGAGGGCGTCCTGGAAGGAATGCTGGCTAACCTTCAAGGATCGTCCCGGTGAACGACATTTGGTGCAATACCGCGACATTATCGAGGCAATCAAAGCTTTGTTAGGAAACCCTGCTCACGCGGGTCGCATTGTGTATCGACCCAGCCGCATCTTTTCGAATTCGACGCGCACTAACCGGATTTACACGGAAATGTGGACCGGTCAATGGTGGCATGCAGTCCAGGTAAGCACTATCTACACAGACATCTTACCTATTGCTGAACAGGATTGAAGAGCATCTTACCAGCGGGTGCTGCGCTCGCGCCGGTCATTATCTTGACCGACAAGATGCAGCTCACTCAGTTTTCAGGAAACAAGTCCGCTTACCCGGTGTACATGACTCTGGGCAACATTCCCAAGGATCTTTGTCGCAAGCCCTCCGAACACGCCTGCGTACTGATCGGCTACCTGTCCGTGGACAAGGTTGACTCCGCCGGCATCACCGAGAACAAGCGGAGGGCGTTGGTCCAACAACTCTTCCACGCCTCTGTGCGCACCATCCTCCAGCCTCTCGTCCACGCAGGCAAGGAGGGAATTGACGTGACGGGTGGCGATGGAAAGGTGCGCAGGGTTCATCCAATCCTGGCGTCTTACGTCGCGGACTACCCAGAGCAGTGCTTGGTCAGTTGTACCAAGTACGGGACTTGCCCCATCTGCCAGTGCCCGGAGAGCGGCCTTGGGGACGCTTCAGCGAAGACGCCTCGCGCCCAGCTCTGGACCCTGGACGTGCTACGGAAAGCTCGTCAGCAAGGCGAGAGAGGCTCCACAGCCTTCTCCAAGTCTTGCAAGGAGTACAACGTCTCCGGTTACTGCGTCAAACCTTTCTGGAGGGACCTACCATACACCGACATCCACTCCTGCATCACGCCTGACGTCCTTCACCAGCTCTATCAAGGTGTATTCAAGCATATAGTGGAGTGGTCCACCGAACTCATCGGAGAGAAGGAACTCGACCGTCGCATCCGCTGCCTCCCTCCTTCCTACGGCACCCGTCATTTCAAGAACGGGATCTCTGCGCTCTCTCAGGTGTCCGGTAGTGAACGGAAGGACATCGCCCGCATTCTACTGGGATGCCTCATCGGTCGTATACCGAATGCTGCGATGCTTACCTTCCGTTCGCTACTGGATTTCATCTACCTTTCTCAGTACCCCACTCACGACAACTCCACCTTGGGATATATGGAAGACGCCCTCAAGACGTACCACAAAAACAAACACATACTGCAAGAACTCGGCGTTCGGGAGCATCTGAACATACCAAAGTTTCACTCACTTCTTCATTACGTCGATTCCATCCGCAGACTCGGCACGACTGACAACTTCAACACAGAAATGTTTGAGCGGTTGCACATCGATTTCACGAAGAAGGCGTGGAGAGCGTCGAATCACCGGAATGCTCGTCCACAGATGATCCAATGGCTTGACAGGAGGGAGAAGGTCTCCATGTACGAGACCCTGCGCGGAAGACTCACCGACGATTCTGAAAACCCGCAATCACTCTCTGAATCGGACTCAGAGAGCACTGGTAGTGGCGCGTTGAACTCTGAACCCGCCAGCACTGAACACCGTCCTCGGAGCGGCAAAACACGTATCAAACTAGCCAAGCATCCGTCCTTCGCTCAACAGTCCTTACCTTCTGTCGAAGAACGACATGCTGCACCAGGCTTTACCCGCGCGATCTCCGACTACGTCTACCAGTTAAAGCTGCAGCGCAGGCTCCGTCCCAGCGAGCTGGATCGAGCAAGCCGTCACTTACCGTTCGCCAGAGTGGACGTCTTCCATGGATTCAAATTCAACAACGTACCTCTCACGGACAACACAGAGGAGAAGGACAGCGTGAAAGCAAGACCTTCGGCAGGAGATCAGCCAGCCAGATTTGATACGGTTGTCGTACTGCACGGTGACGACGCTGAAGCCACAGGACTACAAGGTATGTTTGATTTCTCCAGCGGTGCGCCAGTAGCAACTAACTCTTGCATGATGCAGGGACGCGCGTCGGAAGACTGAGAGTCATCTTTCAGCTTCCCACAACCATACGGGATCCCACTACTCACCTTGAGATGGACGCACCGGAGGAGTGGGCACGAGAGGGGGCATTAGCCTACGTAGAGTGGTACGGCAAGCTGGGCTCGACGGCCAACCCGGTACATATGATGTACGAAGTCAACAAGCTACCTCTGCGGTCAAACGGCGTACCTCAAGGAGAGGTTGTACCGTTGAGTTCAATTCGTCAATCTTGCCAATTAATTCCCCGCTTCCCTTTCCCCTCGTCATCCGATTCTTCCAACCACTCAATACCTGATAACTGGACCTCAGATACTGTTTTGGACCGCGCTTCAAAGTTTGTATTGAATAATTGGTCTAGTAAATACGTGTATCAGACTATATGGTGATGCTGAATACATGGGACTTGTATTGCATCCTGTACCCGCCCTCCCGCCCGCTCGCCCTGCCGTCTGCCCGCTCACCCGCCTGCCAGTCGGCTGTTGCCCTCCCGCCCTCTCGCACTCCCGCCCTCCCGCTCGTGCACCCACCCGCCTTCCTGCTCACCCGGTCGTCCTCTCGCACAGCCGCTCTCCCGCCAGTCTGCCCATCTTCGATGTCGCTTGTCTGCTGGCCTGGTGCGCAACCTTCCCACTCGCGTGCACCTGCGTTCGTCGGCGGTCAGCGTGTGCTCCTGCCCTCCTGCTCGTCCGCCTTCTGGACAAGTCTTGGCTTCGGCCTGTGCGTCTGGGTGATCCGTACCCTGTACCGCCTGACCGCTCGCCTGCCCGCTCGCCCGCTGCCCGCTAGTCCACCGCTCGCCTGCCCGCTCGCCCGCTGCCCGCTAGTCCACCGCTCGCCTGCCTCCTCGCCCACCTGCGTGTACCTTCTTCGGCCGCGCTTGCATCCCGGGCATTGGCCTATCACGTACACGGTCGGCGAGTGCTCCCGCCCGCTTGGCTGTCCGCCGCGCGTTTGTCGGCGGTGCCTGCACGCAGGACAGTGGCTCTGCGTGCTTGCGGTCGTCATGTGTGTTGCGCTTCATGTCACCGCGTCCTGTGTTTGCGTTAGCGGGCTCGCTCGCATGCGTCTGCACTCACGTCGCTGAGATGCTTGCGGACTCAATCCGCACGCCTCTCGTCCATGTCCGCAATCCGCCCTCTATGATGTTCCCACATTTGCCACGCGTGGTCGGGCCTGATACTGTGGGGAGGTGAGTACTCACTTACCAGGTCTAGCGGGGTACTCGCCCTCGCCTGTCCGTCGCTTGCATCCGTCAAGCTTAAGGCGGGCGAGGGTCGGTGACGTCGGGCGGGTGATCGAGATCTGATCTGAGCGCCTTCGCGTCACCGGTGTTGTGACCGTCGTGCCGCTGCACTTCCGTCGCGCCGTCTGCCACAACCTCTGAAATCTACAGGTTCACCGCTTCGTCTCCTCTCCTGCTCTTGTATCTGACGCGTCGTCAAACAGGTCATGTCCCGGCGGCAGAAGACCCGCCAGCCAGCTGCCGGCTTGAAGGAGGTTCAGTACGTCGGTTTTCAACGTGTTGACGTCGACAAGAGCAAAGTCCATAGGGAGAAGCTGGACGAAGACGGTCTAGTATACTGTGGCTATCGTAATACCCAGGATTACTCCGACGTTCCTCTGCCATCTTCCTATCGTCCGCCACCTCAGCCGCCAGTCAAGCAGCCTGCGCAGGGACCCGTGGTGATCGACTTGGTGTCTTCGGACAGTGAAGATGAGGGCTCTTCTGGTAGCGCGGCCGGCCAGTCGGCGGCAGCATCGGGTTCGGACAAGGTGAGTGCGCGATCAATGAAACCTACTGCAGGGCTGAATGCAGTTTACTCTACAGCGTAGCGGTGCCAAACGTGCCACTCCGGCAGAGTTCACGATCCTTCGACGCAGCAAGCGACACCAGAAGGAAGACACGTGCCAGACGCAGGCACCGAAGGGCGACGTGCGGTTGGGAGATCATGGGAGAGTGAGACGGAGGGCAGGCAAGACAGAGGGACAGGGAGACCGTCAGGATGCTCAGCGAGCCGTGCGTCCGGTTGCAGGGAGGTCGAAGAGTGGAGCCAAACGTAGGGCTTAGCGTTGCACGCTGGAAGGAAGCCTAGCTAGCAGGATCTATTTGTGAGAGTGCTGAATCTATCCGTCTTCTGAACGTCACTACGCACTGCCCTACCTCCAAGCGTTTCCAGCAGCTCCGTTTCCAGCAGCTCGAGGCGAAGAAGGCGCAATCCGTCAGCACGCACTTTGCAGCAGTAGGTGATAACGGCGCGATTCGAGTGCGTGCTGTCGCTCCATGCTTACAACGTTACACGACCGGGAGGCGCACTGATACGAGCGCCCGACGCTCTGCTCTCGACCACCACCACCACCTCCTCGTCTCCGACCGTCACTCGGGCAGCCACCATGACTGTCGGACCTCTCGTCAAGACGCTCGCGCTGTCCCAACGGACAGGCGAGCTCAAGTCAGCGACTCAACCGTTAGTTCAGCTAGGACTCGGAGCGCCCGACAACCCCCCTGCCCGCGGTACCATCCTTCCTCTCCCGGGCCTCAAACGCCACCCAGGACACCTCCATTCGACCCTCATACCCCTTCTCTTGTATCTGGCGACCTCAAACCAGCTCTTTGCGGCTCTGACAACACGCAAGCGTCACCGAGGAATCGCGCGATGAGCACGCAAGTCCAGCGCAGGGCAATGTGACCGTCCAACACGCGACACACGCGGAACGAGGAGCCAATGAGGAAGGTGTGAGGGAGAAGGAGAGGGAGAAGGAAAAGGGGGGGAAAGGGTGCACCGAGATGAAGAGGGACGAGCGGGGAAGCTCGACGGACACAGGTACGCCCTTAATGAATGTATCCATCTTGCCACCGCTCTTGCCACCGCTCTTGCCGGTGCCCACGCCAGCATTCGTATTGACGAGCACCGAGTTCTTTGTGCGCGCTGATGGCCACGAAGACGGCACGTCTGTGCTGCGGGACGACCTCCAGGTTACACCCTTAGCAAGGCGACACGGCGGACGTGCAGCGCTGTACGTCCGACGTGTCCCACTCACCTACGATCAACCGTCGTGTAGTGGGTACATCGAGTGATTCGCTCGACGTGCACGCTACTGACAAGCACAAAGGGTCGAGCCGTGAAGGCACGCCCTCTACGGACGTACGTCTCGACGCTCCCTTTTCTGCCTGTGCCCGCACCGGCAAGCGTAGCGATGAACGTAGAGTTCGTCGTGTGCGAGGTTGCCCACGAGTACAGCAACCCGGTGCTACGGGATGACCTTCACGCCGTACCAGAGACTGCGATTCTGCAAGGCAACACGGCAGACGCGCCGACGTCCAACATATCCCGTTCATCTGCGGAACGTGGCACAGCGAGTACGCCGAGACTATCGCTCGACGTACATGCCGTCGGCGAGCGTACCGACGCATTCAGCGTACTCGCAGAAGTACTTGGCGCGTACCTCGATCCCATACCGGTCATCCATGTGATCGAGGCACAGCTCATAACTTGAAGGGTGCCCTAGTACACATGTCGCCAGTGCCCACGTCTGAAAACAGCACGACGAACGTAGAGTGCGTCGTGTGTTTCTCCGACGTTACTGACAGGGCCATGGACCTCGCTAGCAGTGCGGCCACTGTGCCCGCTGTCGTTATCTCACCAGGCGACGCATCCGGCGAGCTGCTTAGCTCCTCCTGATCGTCCCATTTTTACACCACGTCTAGCCCGCCGCTCGACGTACACGCAGTTGATTATCAAGATGCACGCGAACGCGAGGTGCTGAACCTATGTGATGGCCTGGCTAACGAGCTCTATGCCGTCACGACGCATGGCGTGTCTGGCGTGCAAACAAGCATGACCGGTGCGTCTCATCTCTCTATAGCACACACGTTCCAAGCGGAAATATGCCGAGCTGGAGGCTCGACGTGCTGCCCACTGGTGCACTGCATACCATGCGCAACGCAAGAACCGACGTGCCTATTGCAGCGTCTGAACCTCGAGCACTGGGTAGGCCGAGTGATGTGCTGGATGTACAGGAGGGCAGATCCCACCGTCAATGCTACACCTAGTGACGCAGTCGCGGTACGCTCAAACACGACCAATGCGTCCATTTCCACCGTCAAGACAAGACCGTCGCCTACGCTGAGCCCCTCACTCAGCATATATGATATGACCTCCACGTCGGAGATCATGCCCTGCTACGCGATCAGTGTGCATTCACGTTCGACAGCCCGCATGACAACATCTACTGTCAAGACATCCTCGTTGAGTACGGCGAGCTCTTCGTTCACCGTACACTGGCATGACGAGCTCAATGCCCGCCATGCCGTCGCCATTGACGTGCTCCGAGATGACTACGTCGACCGACTCGCTCGCACCCACGACCGCCATTGTTCTGACGACGCTACAGGCTCGTCCACACCTATCCTCGAAGCATCACCGTCGTGTACGTCGAGCTTGTTGCTCAGCATATTCGACCAAGATCAACACTCACTCTTACCCCCAGCTCTTCCAACCTCAGCGGCTCCTATCCAACCGTCACCGAGTGGCGCTCTCAGGCTCTCCGAATCGTACACCCTGTACAACCTAGGTACATGAGCTACGTAGACATTGTATCTACAACATAATACATTGTACGACCTGAACAGAGTGTGCTGTATGAGTTATACTTGTGAAAAGCCCACAAGTATGCGTGAGGGCTTTTGAGTATAATGGTCTCAGGCTAAAGGTAACTGCTGTATCAGCAACCAGAATTCAAGTCAGAGAAGAGACACACCCACGCTTTTGAGCTTTGACGGTCTTTTGGCTGACTTGTGAGCCACTCAAGTTGGTTATGTGGTGTTTGTGCCTTGAAAGAGTGTGCGGTGTCTTGGCATGACGCCCAAGACAAAGTCGTTTTTCCTGATGGTCCATGTTCATCTGATGTTCGCCCTTCTGATAGTTCACTACCGAGTGCGGAAGGAAGCACCCGTGCCTCAAACAAGATGTTGCGCCGATCCCGGTGACAGCGAGCTTATGCCGGTCGGCGTTGGCCTGGGAGACCGCCTTGTGGTCGTTGCAGCTTGAGTGCTGTGGACGTGTTAGCCACACGTTCGTATGCCGGCTGTATACACCCTCACCATCTTCACGTCCTTCGCTACTCTCAGGTGCTCCTCGTATGGGCCGGGATGAACCATGAACATTTTCCCCGGCATCAACGGTACGTCGTTCTCGGGCTTGCGCATTTTCATTTGCTCGGCGTGGAAGTTCCCATCCATGACATATCCTCGGGCATATAGGTACCTCCAGAACAGTTCAGCTGGCGTATACCGGCGAACAGAGTAACTACTTACTTCCTATCATCCACCTCCCAGTCCTCGGGTATGTTCACTCCGGGCTGCGGACATGCCGGGCAAAAGTGAGCAAGGTCTCCGTTGCCCGGGGCCTCTCGCCACTGTGGCCCGTATCCAAACTGTTTCTTCGCCTGGAGCAACGCCCATTCGCGGCTCACTCTAAGCAGCTCAAGGTATCGATCCTACCTCCATTTCAATCATGTGCCTTTGCTGGTATTCTGGACACTCACTCACCGGTACTTCATGGGGAAAAGCCGGATTGGTGGCCCGTCGAATCCGTGCGTAGTAATTCATGGCGGTAGTCTTACACTCCAGATTGTCCAGCAGGAAACCGTCAAGTGCCCCAAAGGTGAAGCACGTACGAGCCTTGCGCTGGCTCGCCGGATACAACCCGGCATCGAGAAGCTGCGATGTGTGGTCACCGGCGTCGGGACAGCCGCACCACGTCACCTGGAGGAAATGCACCCCGGTGGTGTCAACAATAGTCATCATTGCGGGCGGGGGTCGCGGAGGTGAGTCGGCGTGGTGAAGAGGGTCCGCTGGCACGTCGCCATCATCATCGGCCGCGCGATCGGTCGCCCGGTCCATCTCCACTTCCTCGTCATCCTCCACGACAACCGCCGGCTGGGGGCATTCTCTGCCCCGGTGGCCGAGAGTGATTGAAACTCCAACTTGACGGAGCCATGAGGGCTCCCAGTATCCTCCGAGGTTCCACTGCTCAACCCGGTGGAATGGTGTTCGCCGGTGCTCGGCGAGACAGCAGGTCGGGCAGAAGATTGGATAACCAATGCACGACATGCACTTCCATACCCCGCCGCCACTGTTGCAGCTCGAGCACATATAGCTCCCCTCGGCACTGAGCGCGGGAGGCTTGTAGTGGGCGTACAACGATCGCAGATAGTTGTGCTGGAGGGGAATCCACTCTCTAAGCATCTCAGGTTGTGTCTGATTGAATTGGTGAGGCTCTGTCTACGATACAACATGGGCACTTGGTATACCTGCGGGGCACTCTGTCGAACTGTGGGGAACTCGCAGAAAGTCGTGTTGGCAACATCATCGGTTGGTGGCGTCCAGCTGGACTGTCTTGTTGTCGACCGAGCGGTTCGATGGGGTGTAGCCGGCGGAGTCTGCAACCCGCTATTCTGCACCTCGACAAGCCGTGACCTCACTCCCCTTGCAGTCCTTCTTTTCGTCAGTGTGAGTTCTACCACTGCAGGAGAGGTTGCCGTTGGCCGCAGTCGACCCATGGTGTTACCAGAGCAATCAACAGCTCAGCAGTTTGATAAGGGCAGAGTTCAGCTCTGTATTGCCATTGCTCACGTCAAAACTCCTGCAACCATTGCGATTGCCACTAGTGCAGCAGTATGCAGCGGGCCGGCCGCCCGTGTTCCGGGTATGGTGCGGCCGGGGCCGGGATCACCGACGTGGAGTCGCTAAGTGTTGCAGTTCGTCCTAAATCAGACAGCATTTAGGATTCCATGATGGTTCGCATGAGAACGGGGCGCATAATGGCCCGGCCGGACATTAGTCAGTTGCGTATATAATGATGCGGCCGGCAAGATGTCGATCACAACGGTCCGGCCCGCCCGCCCGGTCACGTGTCCGGCGCAGTGAGTTTCATCCAGTCAGACGAGGTGCCAGAAGCATTTGCTGGATGCTATGTTGGAGCCAGATCAGTTTGAGCCTTCCTTGGCTTGCCGGTCGGGACGGCCGGTGATGGGTCTTGTCTTAACCTGGTAACCGGAGTCAGTGACCGGACCCGGCGGCGAGCGGGATCTGCGGTACGGCGAGTACCATGGAACTGGAGAGCTACCAAGTCACACCTTGGTGACTCGCTGGAATCCAATGTGGGTTCGTCCGTGATGCTCCGGCCGGAACCCTCCCATTCTGGGCGGCCGGCGTGCCAGCACATCAGAGTTATGGTGATAAGTAAACAATGAAACGAATGTCGTGTAATGGTTGCAGGTAGAATTTGTGTAAGCCCGAGTACAGCGTGTTAGCTAAGCTCAGAATCGAAAGGTTGTGGCGAACAAGGCTTGGGGTGTCACCGAATCCGTCACCCCGAGGCTACCGAACTCTTGCCACCACCATCTTCGTCGACAAATCACACCTTGCTCACCTAGCATTCTCACTTCACCAGACAACTCGCAATGGGCAAAGTCACCTGGCAAGAACCGGACCTAGTGATCCTGAACAGCAACCTGGAGGATTATCAACAGGCTTCCGAGGATCCACAGCGACGTCAGGAGCTCGTGGAGAACAGCATTCAACGGCTGGAAGAGCGGAAGAAAATCAAGTTTGATGCTCAGTTGCGAAAGGTATGCATTCGACGACGATGATAGAACATTGGTGGCTCATCTCCGGCAGCGCGTCGATAAGTGGTACTCTAACCGACGGGGGTCGAAGGAGCAGGTCAAGAAGGAGATGTTTAAGCTCGGCAAGGACATAACGTGGAGGACGGTCGCGGCCCGCGACCGGGAGGATGAGCTGGGGGAGATCATGGCGAGGATTGCCCGGGAGAGGGGGAAGGATGGGTTGGATGACGACGACGACGAGGAGGAGGAGGGGGATGAGAGGGAAGACAAGGAAGGCCAGGCGATGCCGAGCCGCCAGATCCCGGCCATCTACCAAACCGCCTTGAAGGAGCTCTGCGACAATCTCTCGCCGGAGGACCAGGCCGACTACATGCAGGTCGCCAAGGATTGGAACACGCAGGTATGGCCGGCCGACCTTCAACGGAAGCAGCTCGAGAAGTACGGCACCACCATGATCCGGACTTCATGAAGATCATGTGGAGGAAATGCGGGGCAAGGTGCTTTCTCCTCGTCGGGATCCCGATGGCGGACGGGAAGAACGGTGTGTTAGAGTACGTGTGCCCACCGTAGTGCTAGGCTTCGAATCGTTGAATACATTGTCAGGTTTGACTTCAACGACGAGATGATACTTGAAGAAGATTCCCCGAAGGTACCGAAGTTTACTGCCACCCATGCCGAGTGGAAAACCGGCCTGCTGTATGACATGTGGAAGGCATACATCAAGACCGTGTTCGGTATGTGAGAGCTTTCGGCGGCGCGAGCGGGACCTAAATCCGGAGCAAACAGATGGGAATGGATTCGAAGAGGAAGGAGACCACGGACCGGCATCGGTCATCGAAAACATGGACTGGGAGGAGGACGAGGACGGGTATCCGCTCATGCCGCCGGCGGACCACGACTGTTTCAAAAAGACGAAATTGAAGCGTATGTTTTTGGCGACGTTCGTTCGGAAGACGTATGGTACGCGTGTCCGGGATTGATACGCATTCCATTGTTGACATATTATCAACAGTTAATTTCACCGGACGATCAACAGTCAAAGTGCCGTGGCAATCACTGTCAGAACTCTCGGATTCGTTCATCGACACTGAGTACCTCCCCGCCGGCACCGTGCTCAGCGACCCGAATAAGATGCGCACCGGGGACCTCGACGCAATCCTCACACATTGGCGGGAGAGGCAAGACGACCATCCGCAGGGTCCGGTGCTGCGGTTCAGGGCCTGGAAGAATTCCAAGCTGGAGATCGTCGTCCCGGAGCCAGTAAAGCCCAAACCTTCGGCGAGGCGACCTAAGCCACAGCGTAGGCAAGCCACGCCCGGACCGTCTCGCGCGCGCCGGCAAGAACCTGCCGGCGATATTGCTAGCGATGAGGCGTCCGCAGAGGAGAGCGAAGCGGAGGAGACTTTCAGTGACCTCTTCAAAGCCGACTTGAGTACCGATGAGGAGGAGCAGCCAGCCAAACCGTCGCCGAAGCGGAAAGACAAGGGAAAGAAGAAGGCGCAGTCGCCCGAGTTGACTGACGATGAAGCACCTCCCCCACCCCGTAAGGACAAGGGCAAGGCTGCCGATCGAGGTGCTGCACCCTCGAAGGCCCGGCCCACTCGGGAAGTATCCCATGACGACAACCCGGTGCCGGCAGGGAAATCGGGCCCACCGAAGGGGATTGCAGCGCCCGCAGTGACGGCCCCGGAAGGTGGGAATAAGGCGGTGGGCATATCCAAGGCCCAACCGAGCAAACCCCGGCCCAAGAAGAAGGCCGCGAATCCCAGCAGTCCTCGGCCCGAGGTAGTCCCGGAGGGCCCGGTCCCCAAGAAAGCTGCAAAGCCCGTGCCCGCCGACGGTGGGACCAAAGGGAAAGCAGAGCAGAAGGCCCGTAACCGTCGCTCACCTCCAAAGCGGAGGCGGGCCCCAGCGGAAAGAAAAGGGCTCCGGTGGAATCCAATGCCGAGGACGACGACGAGGTGATCATCCTACCAACTCCGGGTGAGTGTCAACCTGCATCCCCTTGAGTAAATCCTGATTTCCCTCCTCATGAAAGTGACGGCGAAGAAGGCCAAAGACACGCCGGCTGTCCACACGGGTCGTCCTGGACCACAGCCGCATGAGGAGAGCCCGGCCACCGCGGGGAAGAGTTGGGAGGAAGGCGCCAGTGGCTTCGGGAGCTCACAGCCGATGACGGGGTGCAGAGCCTGGTCAACAAACTGCCCTACCTAGTGAGCTCCACCTTGACGTGCTCGCCACTGATGTTCTGACGAACCACATCTAGTCCGAGACCGGTGCATGGCAGTCCAAGACTAAGTGGGACTGGGCAAGTTGGAACTACCGCCGGGCCGATGCACGCCGGACATTCACAATGACAAGGACGTACTAGCACGGTTCCGTGCGTGGCTCACAAGGATAGGTACCAGTCTTGCGGACACCCCGATGAGCCGAGAAAACGGACTTATGGTTACCTTGGCGATTGCCATGGTTGTGAAGGACATCGAGAGGAAGATCGATCACCGGAGCGACGAGGAAGACGAGATCCCACAGTACGTGCACGGATCACAACTTGGTTGGAGCTTCGTCGAGGAGCTCGGCGAACACTGCGAGACGATAGGCAAACTGTGGGAAGACATGGCACATAGGATGCAGAAGAAGCGGAAAGCTGGAGATGTGCCCGAGAAGTCGTCAGCGATCGGCGCCCGGATCAAACGGCCAAGCAAACCCATCTGAATCGCCTGCCAATGGTCAATCGTCAGCCCGGACGTCAAACACGAAGAAGTCTGCGTCGCTGGCCAAGGTTAAGTCTCAAAGCAAGACCACGACGGCGACGCGAAGGTCAACCCGCCGGCGTTAGCTGTCCGTGTCACCTCACATATGAGTTATCGTAGTTTACATTATGTCGCCGAATCAATGTCAGTCCCATACTGCTGGATTGAATGCCTGCGTGGTATCCCGATGGCATTGCCTGTGTACATTTGCCCACTATGTAATGACATGCCGGCCCAATATTCGAAGACCATCCCAGCCCGAGACTTGACAAAACTCCCGGCCGAGACTTCACCAAACTCCCGGGCCGAGACTTTCACAAACTCCCGGCCCCGAGACTTTCCAAAACTCCCGGGCCGGGAATTGAGGACGAGTCTCGGGCCGCGACTTGGGTGTCTGCTCGGGGCGAGACGTTGGCGTCCCGGAGGGCTTAGGGCATTTGACATGCCTGAGAGGTAGCAGAGTCAGAGTTGTGATATGCCCGCAATAGCCGGTGCCACTGCGGTGTGCAAGTCCCCGGCCGAGAGTTTCCTGTGATGCTCGGCGCCGGTGGAACGCTTAGAGCCCCGGGCCGAGATATCGGGAGTGAGCTCGGGCCGGAGATATGACTATCTCCTCTGGGATATCCCAGTTGACATCTCAGAGGCTGTTGGTCAAGCAATATATAGTGTACATGGATTCCGCGCTATGGTACATTGATACGATACATGTCCGTGGCCCACCATCTCAATGCCGTACCCCCGGCCCATGTCACAACCCCGGGCCCTCTGCGTC